GGAGGAAGGGTGTAGAGGCTTAGTTGGCGGGCTTGCAAGAGAGCATGCGCTAAATGCAATTGGAGAAGTTTATGGGCTACCTCCAATAATAAAATTTGCAGGTCTTAATGAGTTGGTACTTAAGGATGAGTTCTTGAACGAGAATGAATTCTTTAGTTCCTTGAGTTGCTGGAGGTCGATGATCGCGAAAGAAGAATTATTGAAGTTTGAATACTTCGAGGATGCGAGGATTATGCCACCGAAAATGCAACTCACGGCCATGGGGTAGCCCCGGGAGGGTGAAGAAAGAAGGCCTAGTCAGAGAGTGGAGCATGATTGGAAGAAACGGAACCGCAAGAAATGGGTTAGTCAGCTTGCAAATTGCACGGAAAGGAAGAAAATTTGGGTCAAGACGGTCAACCTTGAGGACAACCTAATGATAAACCTAATTCGACTAAAAGATTACTAACCATAATAAGAATTACCCTAATAATGATTATAATAATAAATATAAAAACCCTAATGAATAGGGTTTATGAGAGTTTTCTTAATATTCTTCTTGACTGATTCTAATGAAACCACAAAGTACATATTTATAGGAAGTGATAAGAAAACCCGAATAATAAACCTAATACGATTAGAAGACTATTAACCATATCTAATAATATTCTAATAAATAATATAGTAATTATAATAAATTGTGTTTCCATCAATAACTTATGGAAACTCTTATTCTCCTAACCTTGTCTTATAGAAGTTCTCTACTTCTATCCTTAACTCATACATTTAACTACTAGGGTCCACCGTGTTACGTATCGCCGTCCGGTGTCCCTATCGTCAAGGAAATGGTTTGCGTTACGTATCGCCATCGACTCCATGCCTGGTCAACTAAAGCATTACGTATCGTCGTCCAGTAGTGACCCTAATTCCTCGATCAACTGATGCGTTACGTATCGCCGTCAAGCAGTGATCCGACCATCCACTCCATGCATGGGAATACGATATTTTGGGCTTAACGCGTTGACGACCACTCTTGTGGCCAAATTGACTTTCAACCCCTATGTCTCGTTGATTTTTACACTTAACACATAGCCACTCGTGGCTCACGGTAGGATCATGCCTGATCAGTCTGTGTAGAAACGTCTTATCAAGCCCCTTTGTTTGCCATTAATATTTGACATGCCATGAGGGCTGTTAGGCATAGAGTTGCTTCTTTGTCCATCTCTTAACACCCTCTCATACTTAGAACAAATTTTATTGGCTGGGGTGTGATGACCACTCCTAAACTTGCCATCCATTCCATTCTTCATAGTGGATGGCATGCCCCCCTGTCTACTACATGTGGCTGGAGATATGCCCTTTATACCACTTTTCATGGTTATTGACCGGCCCCATTGTCATAAATAGCTACATCATTATGATCACTACAAACATGTGTGGTTGGGCTTGTTGGGCCTTCTTGGGTACGTCTATCTTCCCACTTCTTGTTGTTAATGGTATGCCCCCCTGTCCAGTGTATGGAGCTGAGGACTTGCCCCCCATGCCATTGTTCATGGTTGTTGACGTGCCCCCATTGCCACACTTAGCTAAGCTATCATGTTTACTACAAGTACGTGTGGCTTGGGCTTGTTGTGACTTGTTGGGCACAACTGTTAACCCACTGCTTTTGGTTGATGACATGCCCCCCATGCCATTGCTCATGGTAGATGATGGGCCCCCCTTGTCACACTTAGACAAATAAAGTGGTTTCTTTTGAACGCACCCCTCTGTACATCTTCCTTGACATCAATGTGCCCCCCAGCCTGACACTTCACCTTTAATCTGCCTGGTGATAGGCTGTCATACTCCCATTGCTGCCCCCTTGATGGTTTGTATCCATTAGGCTTGCTGGGCATGGATGGAAATAGAGTTGAGCATGTTTTTGGCAGCACATCTTCAGTGAGTGTGTCTCCACTAACTCTCACATTCGGGCAAGGTCTTGCCTCTGAGACTGTTTTTTAAAGTAACTGTCTGCACAGGTAGTTTCTTTACGTGAGTGGTGAACGTGGTAGCGAGATTTTCGCCGCAACCACCACGTTGAAGAGGTGGTTGACTTGTCACCGGAGACGATGAGTTCTCTACCCGTGGCTGAGTAGTCCGGCCACCGGAGTCTAGAATACTCGTATCCCTAGTAGCAATGCTTGATGGTGGATCTACACCATCTTTCGCCAAAACCATTGTTCTCAACACTGGTCTCATCAAAAGTTGGCGAAGTTCTTTAAAATTATTTTTATTTATCTCACAAATCTCATCCAGTTGATCCATACGTTGATTTAGGCGATTACGAAAACAATCAAGTTGAGATACAATTTGTTTTGTGTATCCAACCAAGGCCTCCTTCACTAATTGTATTTCCACCACCAGTGAGTGATGGGGAGACATGGCGGTGGCGTTTACACCCAAATATGGCTCCGGTGATGGCTGACCTCTAGCCCCACCATTATTTCCGGCGTCACCTTTTGCTAATTGGGCAAGATCATGTCTGGCCACTAGCTCCTTTACAAACCTAGGTAAAAGATCACCTTCTTGTTCTCTCAGTCGTGGAGTCATCAAATCAAACACAGAGAGTGCCACCGGGTGTGCCAATTTGTTTTCCGGCGAGGAAAATCTTGTGTTTGAACACAATAAATGCACCTTTGACTTCTTGAACAACGATTAATAACACGGTTCACACCTCTCCGAACAATGTTCGAACGAGGGTGTTTGATGTTTTTGATGGTTTTTTGGGAACAATCTAAGTTACGTTACTCTACTCCTATGGAGGTTCAGCGAGAGCTCCATAAACTAAAAATTATGCTAATTTGCAGAGGAACGAAAAAAGTTTGACATAGTGTGTTAAATGGTTCGTTGTGGACCCCTTGCTTCGTTTTTGCTTCTCCTATTTATAACCATCTCTTGTAACTGCCGTATAACCGTCTCTGTTAACCGCTTCTCCTCTGCCTGGTGCTTGACCGGACCCCCTTGGACGATGTCATGCATGACCCCCTTGGATGATGTCATGCTTGACCCCCCTTTTGGTTGGGTCTCAACACTTAGCCAAATTTCACCTTCTTTTGCCGCCACATGCTCGATACGCCGAGTGCAAGGGTAGGTAGGCGGCCATGGTACTTGGTGCTTGACCCTATCGTGGTGTCATCCATGAATCCCCTTGGATGACATCATGCTTGACCCCCTGGGATAATGTCATGATTGAACCCCCTTGTGGTTGAGGTAGGTAGGCGACCATGGTACTTGACCCCTCTTGCATTACATCATGCTTGACCCCCCTGGGATGATGTCATGCTTGACTCCCCTTGTGATGGGTCTCCATACTTAGCCAAAATACCATCATTTAGGCCCAACTTAAACCAATTTAATTAATATGGTTAAGTTGGCCTTATAAACCACTACAACTCCTTGAAAGTAATCAATGTGGTATGAAGTTATTTTTTAGTGGTAAACACAATCCAAACACTTATTTAACATAGTTGAACCTGTAATAAAAAAAAATATATGGTTGAACCTGAACCCAAATTTGGAGGTGTTAAAAAAAACTAGTTATAGTAATGTGGGTTGCCACCGGGACCTAGTCCGCGGTACTTCCCTACTGGCTACTACCACACACACTACATTAAGCATTTGCACTTAACATTCAGATAAGGGATCTTTTATTCTTTTTGGTCATGACTCATGACTATATGAGCAAACCCAATCCAGTCTCATTTTAAGAACTTTTGCCTTTCAGACTTTAACTAAAGCGCAAAGAGATCAAACAAGAGGATAAGTAATAGTCATAGGGCTGCAAATGAGTCGAGCTACTCGCGAGCGACTCGACGTTCGATTCGAGAAAAGCTCGTTCGAAACTTGGCTCGTTTATTAGTCCCATTTTAAGAACTTTTGCCTTTCAGACTTTAACTAAAGTGCAAAGGAGATCAAACAAGAGGATAAGTAATAGTCATAGGGCTGCAAATGAGTCGAGCTACTCGCGAGCGACTCGACGTTCGATTCGAGAAAAGCTCGTTCGAAACTTGGCTCGTTAATAAACGGGCCGAACATGAGCTAAGCTTTGTTCAGCTCGTGAGCTAGCTCGACTCGGTGACTTGTTGAGTTAAACTCGTGAAATGACTCGTTTAGAGCTCATGATATGTCTCAACATATGGTTAGAGAGCCAACTCAATTACCGACTTATGGACGAATAAATCTATATCTTATAATTTTAATTCATATGATTGTTAAATTATATATCTCACTATATATAAAGTTTAACACCTTGAGTGCGTGAGCAAATATATCTTATTTTCTACTTTTAAAAGAAATTATGTATCACAGATTGCTTCGATACTATGAAATAACATGATTTGGAGTAGTTAAAATTTATTAACTAAATGATATATGATACCAACAAAGTATAATATGAGATTAGCTAACAAAATAAATCATATGTGTCAAGATATACAAAATAAAGTACCAAATAAAAGTCAAGATTCTAGTAAACAAGCTAGCTCGGCTCATTAATAAACAAGCTGAGCTCGAACTCGACTCATTTATTAACGAACCGAGCTCAAGATGTAATAAAACTCGACTCTACTCGGCTCATTTGCAGCCTCTAAATAGACACTAATTAATTACTTTATCCTTTTGTGTAACATGTTGTTTGACCCTAGTGAAAAGCTCCCTTGTCATCACAGACCTCTTTTGACACCACACAACCTCATTAAGGTCGAATTCTCTGAAATCCCCTTTTTCCCCTGATCAACTTGGTGCAAAATTTGGTTTGACTGTAAAGTAGCTAGCTGGTGCCTAGTGGGTGCAGACACCTCATTTTGTCCGGGTAAATTATCCAACTAAAAATTCCAACTTAAATCGTAAAATGCCGTAAGATAATTAGATTGACCATTGCAAGTCTAAAATATCAACGATTGTACAATTTATTCGAATTCGGTTCCAGTATATCTAATAGGATCGATTGGCTTCCAATCTCAGCTTTTAGCACAACACAAATATAATAATAAAGAAGCACGTTGTATTAAAAATTATTGCTAAATTACAATTACAATCAGAATAACAAATTACAAATATGAATTACTATATAAAATTACACTTATTCAACGTCATTATAAAAGTAGTGTTACAAATTAAAACTTGATATTTGAAGCGCACTCTTACTTCATCCGCCATAATCCTGCAAGAAGAAAGGAGACAGTCAATTCAGACCCAGATCCAAGACAAGTCCATAAGATCACTGCCCAACATCAAGCCCACAGTTGAGCCCAAGCAAAAGCGGATCCATCTCATGGTCAAATAGTCAGTCAAGCCCAGATGCAAGGCCCAACTCAAGACATGCTCATGAGTCAGATCCAAACCAGCCCAACGACCCGACCGACTGGTTTAACCAGAATGGGTCCGGTCGAATCCAGAAACCACCGCCTCCTTTTTCTATGAAAGCAGGCTCAATTTTCAAGAAATGGGGACAGCTTTTCAGAGGGGAAAAAAACACTTGGGGAAACACTGTCAATTCTTTCTTTCAGTCATTTCAGAGATTTTGTTCTTCTTCTTAGTCAGTTTAGAGAGAGGGGAAGTGCTGGGAAAATAAAAGAGAAACGCAAACACTCTTTTTTCTTTCTTCATTCTGTCAAATAGAAAGCCTCTAGCCAAACAGAAGAGGTTTGTATTGAGCAAAACCAGATTCATATTCCAGTTATAATAATATACTATTGATTTATTCTCTTCTCTTCTCTACTACTCGGGAATGGATCAGGTCAGTAACCTTATGGTGAGTAACTATGAGTAACCCGCCCACATCAGCATCCTCTCTCTCCTGGAAAGCCTTTAATTTTCCCCTCCTTAATCTTTGACGGACGATTTCTCACTCGTTTTAAGTCGAAATTTAATTTTTTTTTGCACAGTTAGATCAGATTAATTGTGCTCTTCAAAATGATATCCACTTTGATATATTTTTCAAACAAAAGAAATTGAGCCATTTTATACCAGTCTATACCATATGGTATTGACTGGTATTGAAATAAGAGCATACCTATGGTTTGAAAAGCGTATCATGGTGGTATGACACAAACCAAAATTGTAGGATGGTTGAATACATGATAGTAGAAGTATATTAATTGTCATTTACGACTTTTAACGTTGTATACCATAAGATACCATAAGATACCACCCCGTACCACGGTGGTATTGTATGGTATTGTGTGGTATTTTTTTTGTCTTGTAATTTGTTCACCCAGAAATTTGTAGATCCAATAGATCATGATGAACTCGTCCCTGCTGTGCAAACGTTTTAAAAAACGAATTAAAAACGAAGAAGATACCATATGGTATGCAGTTGGTACCGAGAGGCCAGAATTTTTTTTCCTCAAAAAATATTGAAAATTGATCTCATTTTGTAGAGCACGATGAACTCGTTCCATCTGTGCAAAAAAAAAATTAAAATCCAAGTTAAAACGAAAAAGATATGAGTCAATTAAGAAAGCTAGTGAAAAAAAAATGGTCTTTAATTCTCCATCCTTAGATCTGGATTTTCTAAATGAAGGGTCCAGATTTGGTTATTGATGGGTGCATAACCCATGGTTATGCACCCTAACTTAAGCCCTACTACTCTTCTCTTTTTGTCGGCTCAAGATAGGGTGCATAACCATGGGTTATGCATCCATCAATAACCAAATCTGAACCCTTCATTTAGAAAATCCAGATCTAAGGATGGAGAATTAAAGATCATTTTTATTTTCTCTAGCTTTCTTAATCGGCTCATATCTTTTTTGTTTTAACTCGGATTTTAATTTTTTTTGCACAGGTGGAACGAGTTCATCGTGCTCTACAAAATTAGATCAATTTTAAATATTTTTATAGAACAAAAAATTATGGCCTCTCGGTACCAACTGCATACCATATGGTATTTTCTTCATTTTTAATTCGTTTTTTAAAACGTTTGCACAGAAGGGACGAGTTCATCATGATCTATTAGATCTACAAATTTCTGGGTGAACAAATTACAGGACCAAAAAATAGCACACAATACCATACAATACCACCCTGGTACGGGGTGGTATTGTATGGTATCTTCTTCGTTTTTAATTCGTTTTTGAAAACGTTTGCACAGAAGGGACGAGTTCATCATGATCTATTGGATCTACAAATTTATGGGTGAACAAATTATAGGACCAAAAAATATCACACAATACCATACAATACCACCCTGGTACGGGGTGGTATCTTGTGGTATACAATGTTAAAAGTCGTAAATGACAATTAATATATTTCTACTATCATGTATTCAACCATCCTACAGTCTTGGTTTGTTCATACCACCATGGTACTTTTTTCAAACCATATGTATGCTTTTATTTCAATACCAGTCAATACCATATGGTATAGACTGGTAAAAAATGGCTCAATTTTATTTGTTCGAAAAATATATTAAAGTGGATATCATTTTGAAGAGCACAATTAATCTGATCTAACTGTGCAAAAAAAATTAAATTTCGACTTAAAATGAGTGAGAAATCGTTCGTCAAAGATTAAAGAGGGGAAAATTAAAGGCTTTCCAGGAGAGAGAGAATGCTGATGTCATGCTGATGTGGACGGGTTACTCATGGTTACTCACCACAAGGTTACTCACCTGATCTGCTCCCCTTTTTGTCAATATCATTCTACTATTGTCATTATTAGCATCTCTTTCTTTTATCTTTCTTCACAATACTTTTAAAAATCAATCAACTCTATAATTGTACATTGACCAAACTGATTTAAAAGAGAAATCTCACCTATTTTATTTTATCAGCTCTTCAGTTTCAGTTTCATTTTCGGTCCCATTATTTACTTACTTTTAACATGATTAATATACTATCCACTAACAGCAACTAACTACTTGAGTAACGACTCTGGTTTAAATATTATTTTGCTAGTTAACATCTGCTCATGGTCTTTACATTCAATTTTCTACTACGCTATTTACTACCCGTCGATTGCTATTCCTTTATTTATGTCATATATTTCAACTCCTTTCTAGCATGTAGGTAAAAATAACATCATTCGATTGAAATAAAAAGTGGTATTCTCCAAATAATCCCAACCCTCTGAGCTCCCAGACCATTCATTCACCACAAAATCACACCAATTAAACCTCAAACACAAGATTCAGACAAACACAACCATTTTCCCTTTAATTTATATCTATTGATCATTCTCAAATCTACAACATAATCGTTTTTTTAGCTTAATCTCTCTAGCCACAGACCACAGTGAGCCCATTTAAAAAAAACCTACCTCGATCTGTTCCCTTTCAAAACACTGCAAAAATTAAATCAAGTAGATCAGAAACCCAAAACTAAGAGATAATCAAAGTACAAATAATAAAAATCCTCACCAGGTCTGTGAGTCGCCGTCGCCGTAGCACCCTCTGCTACCGTCTTCCCGGTCTAAGTTTCCCCTAGATCCGACCCTCAAAACCCAGAAAAAGCAGAAAGGGTGAGAACCCGAACTCCCCCAAAATCGGAATAAAAAAATCGAGAAAACAAACATGCATGTCAAAGAGGTTTACCCGATTTTTGATTTCTTCCTTATCGTCACCATTTAAACGAGAAAACGAACGAATTGAGAGTAGAGGTGCAGGGCGGCCATGGATTTGGAGTTGGGTTCGTTTTTCCTCTAACGATTAGAGTGGGTTCCGGATACGAACATGAGAGAAGGCGAGAGAAAGAGAGAGGCGAGGAATGTCGGCGATTTTAAGAGAGTGAGGTTTTCGTTCTCTGGAGAAGAAAGGAGAAATGAAGGGGAGAGAGAGAGAGTAGAAAAAAACGAGAGGGCGAGGTAGAGAGAGAGAGGGGAGCGGCCGTTCGCCCAGCTGTTAGGTTAGATTAGGGTTTTCATCAGTTAAAGCTCTGTTATATACCTCTGGCCTCAACTAAATGACGGATCTACCCCTCCATGCCTTAAATCGTAAAAAATGAACGTTTGTGGTTTCGAACCGACGACCTTCACCTCATTCCTCGCCAATACTCGCTACAACAAACCACTGAGCTACATCACAATTCTTGAACCTTTTAGGCCCCTCGTTTAGTTTTATTCCTTATCATGCTTAATACGTAATTAATTAAACGTATTAGAAATTTTGATCTAGTTAGATCGTCATTATTTTCATACATCAAAATCTTCTAAATATCTTTTTCACTACATCATTATGCATTTATATATATATTTTTTTCCCTAAAGATCCAATAAAATGAAATCAGGGTTAATAGTCCATAATAATTTTTTATGGTGGAATCTTTTCATAATCATTAATCAATTGATTCCAACTAACCATAACTTCTCATTTTTCGAGATATATGTCAATAGACGTAAAATCTAATCGTGTACCAATAGTATACGAAATTCAAATTATCTTAACTAGTCCAATAGGACTTCAAGTTAAATCATTAACAATTTAAACACCCAACCTTTAAAACTTATCGATTTAAGTAGTACCTTTTTGGGCATTGTGGGGTGTGAATACACTTCCCCACACGTAACCGTACTCCCGAATCCGAATTTCTAAAATTTCGCAGACCAAACCCCGGTTTCGACCCTGAGGTCGAGACCGGGCCAAAATGGTGTTCGACCCACCACAACTAAGGTCGATGGCGACTCCGAGCGAAATCGCGACGGATACCCCGATCTCGATGGGCGGTTGCGACAGTGGCGACTCCCCTGGGGACCTATTGAGAGTCGGGCTACATACTTAAATCGATAAGCTTTTCTTACTTTCTTTTTGGGTGTTTATTATATTGTTTGCGCTTTTTTTATTTACTTTGTATTTAATTTCATTTCGTACATAAAAAGCTCTATACCCGAGCTCTCCCTTTAGAAATTGGAAGGTGTAACATGACTCCTACAATAGTAGGGGAATATCGTGAAACTTACTAACCAAGTTGAACTCAAATCCGAGGTTGATTTGAGGTATCCAGCTAAGCTTGAAAGAGCAATAGTAGGATACAACTTGGGTATTTTCCTAGATACCTTTACCAACCATTTAGTAAGCTTAACAGCCGCCGAACACCATCTTGTATAAACCTTATCGTCTAATCTTCCATAACTTTTTATGTTTATTTAATTAGAGAATTGTTTTTAATTTAGATATATGTTTGCTTGTGATGTGGTAATTTGTGCATTATTGATTACTCATAAATAATGCGATTTTATTATGCACATAAAAGCTTTTCAAAATTCATGACATTAGCATTCATCCTATTCAAAATCATAAAAGATAAAGCACATGCATACATTAAAGTCATCTTTGCATTTACACATTCACATTTTTTAGCATTATAAGCATCACATATACAAAACCGTTTAACAAACAATAAATTTGTCAGGGTTCCTTAAAATTGCTTGCCTGCCAGGAAAAAGTCAGCCTTCTAAGCACTTCACTAGATCAAAACTCAAGGTCTTCATGGAGGCATTTCAGAAAGAGATAAACGACATCAATGGGAAGCTAACGGGGTTTGATGAGAAACTGACGGGATTTGATGAAAAACTGGCGGGTTTTGGTGAGATGAAAGGTCAACTCAGCACAATTTTGAGCATACTGTCAGGAAAAGGAAAGGGGGTTGCAACCAATGAAGAAGAAGCCATATTCGACGAAGAAGATCACTATGAAAAACCTAAAGGAGATGCCTCGGGTAGTAAATTTATTCTCATACCTTCGAAGAACACATGTGACGAAGATGGCATAGGGCAACCAAAGCATGACAAATTAGAAGAGACTGAGAAGCAGGAGGAACATGGGGTTGATGCTATGCTGAAAGAAAAATTGGAACACATGAATGAACGAATAAGAAGCATAGAAGGATTTGAATCCTATGAGCCTATGGATGCATCACAACTATGTTTAGTCCCAGATGTCATAATTCCTCATAAATTTCAAATGCCTGATGTCGCAACCGCCCCTTCGAGATCGGGGGATCCGGAGAGTCATGCTCGGAGTCGCCATCGACCGTGCTTTGGGGTGGGTCGAACACCTTTTGGCCGGTCTCGACCTTAGGGTCGAAACCAGGTTCTGGTCTGCGAATTTTAGAGAATCTGGGTTCGGGAGTACGGTTACGTGTGGGGAAGTGTATTCACACCCCACAACGCCCAAAATTGGTACTACTTAAATCGATAAGTTTTTAAGGGTTGGGTGTATTATTATTTGCAACTTTATTGATGTATTTTAATTTTATGATTCGATTAATTATGTGTTTGTTATTAATATTTGATCATACGTCTATTGACGCAATTCTCAAAATTAAAATAAGAGTTTTGGTTAGTTGGATTTTACGTCTATTGACGTACATATTTGGAATGAAAAAGTTTTAGGATAGTTGGACTCGAACCTATTGGTTGCCTACGTACCCGATTAATCGGGATCAAAGTCCACGTAGTTCGATTAATAAAGTTTTATATTTTTTAGAAATTTGATGTTTGTTTTAATCTTTTGAAGTTTTGATTTGGGAGTATTGGCTTAGAAGGAGATTTAATACGAGAAAAATTACCATAGTTATCGGCCCTTGTATTTCATATTAAGGATTTCCATACAAAGTAAAATGGTGATCAATCATCTTTCAAAAGAATGTTAAATACTTTAATTTTGGAATTTTCAATAGTTTTTTTTTAGAATAAACTTAAAAGTGAGATAAATTAGAGGACTTGTCCTGTTGATTTAAGTTTTGTATATCGAGGGGTTAATGTTTATAAATTATGAGTAGTTAATATGTACACATGTAATTAATGATTAACCTACTGGTTAAACGTCTAATTGTGGCCATTAACGAGGCTGAGGTCTCTGGTTCGAAACCTAGGAGTTGCTTTTAGCCAATTTCGTTTTTCAGCAGAAATCAAAACGAGGGTATTTTTGTAAATGACTAAAAACGAGGTGGCAAGGCCACGTAAAACCTGTAAAACCCTAGGGGTAAAACTGTTATTTAGCCTGTTTGGGTATATATTCGTTTTTAACAACAAAAATCTTAACTCTAAAACAATCTAATCGATCGGCCGCCTCTCACTTCACTCTCCCCCCTCGTTTTTCTCTCGCCTGCTCACCTCTTCTTCTTCCCCAAAAACACGAGATAGCAAAAAAATGATAGCAAAACCCTAGCTCTTTCAATCGCCCCCAACCTTCTTCTTTCCCCTCTCAAAACTGACTTACAGTCTCCCAAATCGAACAAAACCTAAAAATGAATCCCCATCACCTCCCTCTCTCTCTTAAGTTCTGATGGAGACGAGGAAAAGGAAAAGAGATTCAAGCGATGGCGAGCAAGGAGAGCCGCCGGCGGTTGATGATGACGGGGACGAAGGTAAGGTCTTTTTTTGGCTTGCATGATGATTTAGTTTTTTATTTGGAGTGAGGTTCGATTTCGGGCGAGTAGATTTTGATTCGGTTTTGTTCTTGTGGTGTTTTTTTTTTGGGAAGTTTCGGGCTGAATCGAGCGGAGTTGAGCAGTAGGCCGTACCGTCGACGACGGCAGCAAGGCTATCGGCGGAAGAGTGAGGTAGGTCTTCCCATTTAAATTTGATTCGCATTTTTTGGGGGGTTTTGGGGCTACTTAGGCTTCTGATGATATGGTTCATTTGATTTCTGGGTTTCGAGCTTGGAGAAGGAAAGGGATCAGATATGGATGGCGGACAAAGGGAAAGAGCAAAGAAGCAGCAGAAAGGGAAGAGCAAGGTCGCCACTGCCGGCAGGTATGAGCTTTGTCGCGGCGACAGTGATGACAAACAAAGGGTAACTTATCTACGTAAGATATTTTTTGGATTAAGGGATCTTGGGTCTGATTTCGGCTATGAATTGGGGAATTGGGTTCGTTTGTGGTTACTAATCATAAAATTGGATTGTGGTTGGACATTCTGTGGGTGTTCATGGTGGGTTTAAGTCTAGAAATTTGGCGGTGCTCATGTTGAGTTTGATTATGAGAATCGGTTGGTGGTGATTGATGAGTTTTGGTAACTGATGACTTGAGGGGTGGTCGAGCTCAAATCTGTCTTTTTTGTGGGTTTTATGGGTGAATTTGATTTTGGAAATTTGCCTGGTATTTGGGGTAAATTTTCTGGGTTTATGTTTCTTGGTTTGAAAACTCAGATGTGATCATTTGGTTAGGTGGGTTTCGAAAGGTTTGTCTTGGGGTTAATATGGCGGTTTTGAAATTGGAAATTTGTTGTGTGTATGGTGAATAACTGGGGAATTTAGCTTAGTGATGGTTAGGTGTATAGTCCAACATATAATAACAAACATACAAAAATAAGCAGAACGGCCAAAAAAATAGTAAATGATGAACAAATATAGATTTAAAGATCTAGTAGTGTAGTACGCTTAAACATGAAATATTTAAATGAAAGTACTGAGATAAATAGGAAAGTAAATATAATGAACCCATAAGGAAAAGCAATATATCTGATTTGTTGATTGCTTTTGTTATTATAGTGAGAATTGCCGACTTGTAATTTGCTTTGAAAATCGATTGGGCTTGATTGCTTTTGGAGTTTTATTTGGGTCAGATTGTAATTTGATTGGGGTTGATTGAGTTTGGTTTTGAAAAGAACTTAACAAGATGATTGGATGATGAAGGATAAAGATGATGGTTTGGAATTTACTTTGCTACCAACCTTTTGACTTTTTCTGTTGTTTGGGTGATGATTCTGCCTCTCCTTGATTCTCTGAGCTTCTTTGTCTGCTATCTCCTTTGTGCTTTTGCTGATGTTGGTGGCAGGGGAGGATGTTTGTGGTGAGAGTTTTTGTTGTTGTTCCTTTCGGATTTCTTTTTGGCTTCTGTTTGTGTGTGTTTGTTTATGCGGGGAAGAGGAAAGGGAGTTGTGGTTTCTTTGCTGTCTTTCGGAAAGGGAGAAGAAGAATCGAGGACAGGAAGCTTGGGGAGAAAGAAGATGGAGAAGAAGTGAGGAAGTAGCCTTTTGTTATGTATGAAGAAGGAAAGAGTAAAGTCTGATTTTGCAGAGTTTATTTTTGTTGGTTTTGATTGCTCTTTTATGTTTGTTTGGTCAGGAAAGGAAGAGGGGAGTGCCAAGAAGAAGAAGCGAGGGAGTCTGCAGGGGGGTGGTTTTTGCAGAGTTTGGTTTCAGAGAAGCCTCCTCGTTGTAAGTGCCCAAAGGGCTCTTTTTATAGAAAGAGGTTGCTTAGGCAGCAAGCAAGCTACCATACCCAATTTGGTCTGACCGGGTTTGGGTCATTGGTTGGACCAGGCTTGGGTTTTGGGTTCGATTGGTCATGGGTTAGGTCAGAACAGGTCAACGGATCAGTTTGGCCAGCGTTGACTTTTGTTGACAGTTGACTCCTTGGTTGGGCTTTGACTTGAGCCCAATCTCTTTTATTTATACAATTTTAAAGGTCATTTATGTAACAACTTTGTAGTAATGTATTTATACATGTAAATGGAATTTATTTTAATAAGATTGTTATTTTATTTCTTTATCTTTAATGTAATAATGTTCCAAAGTTGAGTCCAATCCTCACTAGACCCACCGTCTTAAGAAAACGATCAAACTCATACGGTAGCAAAATGAAGTCTATGTCTCGCTTGTCTGATCAAAGCAAAAAAAAAAAAGTCAACTCTCATCATCGTATCGATCAAGATTTGCTATTGCTTAATCTCGTCTATTGCTTAATCTCGTCAAGTTATGACGACCACGACCAATCTTGAGCACTATCAATATAAAAACTAAATTTTATTTAAGTAAAAAGGTTTTAGCCCGGACAAAAAGTGGTGTCTACAGTTGCCCCCTTTGTATATCTCTTGGTATTTGAGAGGTATACAAAGTTATCTTAAAACACCATTTTTTGCCGATTTAGATATTGTCAAAAGCTATACAAAGTATCAATCAGTTCAAGCAACAGTATAGCTTGTTTGTTCCCATGCGGTATAGCAAAAATGACTTGCTTACTCTCATGGCGGTATGGCCTGGTTTAGATTATGGACTTGTTTAGTTTTTTTTTCCCCCATGGTGGTAGAGCCTGATTTGGGTTTTGTTAACATGGTGGTTCAACCTAGTTGGGATTTTCATCCATGGCGGTACAACCTGATTTCGTTCTATCTTGTTCCCATGGCGGTATAGCCTGACCTGGGGTTTTTGCCTGTAGTCGTATAGGCTGGTTTGGTTTATGTATGGCGATATGGTCTGAGTTGGTTTTCAGGTAATTTGGAAGTAGGACCTGAGTTGCTATTTAGGTATCTTGGCGGTAGGGCCCGAGTTGGCATTTAGTTATCTTGGCGGTAGGGCCTGAGTTGGTATTTGGTATTTTGGCGGTATAGCCTGACTAGAGTTTTCTGGTTTCATGGCGGTATAGCCCGTTTTAGGAGTGTTTTTCATGGCAGTATAACCTGATTTGGGTTTTTGGTCCAATGGCGGTATAGCTTGACTTGTTTTTAGTCTTGTGGCGATATAGCCTGGTTTTGTTTTTTAATGATCCGGTAGCGGTATAGCCTGATTTAGATTCTTTTTGTATGGCGGTATAGCCTACTTTGATTTTTGTTTGGCGGTATAGCCTGCGTTATTTTTTGTATGGCGGTATAGCCTGTTTTTGATTTTTTGAATGGCGGTATAGCCTGCTTTGGGTTCTGCATGGCGGTATAGCCTTCACTGTTTTTATCTTGTTCCCGTAGCGGTATAGCCTGATTTGAGGTTATCTTGTTCCGTGGCGATATAGCTAGATTTGAGATTTTGTGGTCCCGTGGCGGTATAGCCTGATTTGGTTATCTTGTTCCCATGGCAGTATAGCCTGAACGGGGTTTTTGTTCGTGGCGATATAGCCTGATTTGAATGTTTTCGTGGCAGTATAGCTTATTTGATCATGTGTATCATGGCAGTAAAATTTATGAGGATATGTGAAAGATTACCACAATCACGAGTGGTATAGAGTTTTTTGCTCGATAAGTGGTGTTGAAAACATCAATTGGGTCTAGGTAGATCTCGGTATGTGCTAGACTCGATATTTGTATGGATTAGCATTTGATTTCACCATGATGTGAAAATGCAAGATATTTTGTCATATGATATGATGTGATGTGGTATGTTGATGGATAGGTATGCCAACTGATTTTGACTTGGCTATCGATTCCTTGCAATTATTCATCTAATGAATGATATGACTACGTGAAGTGTATTTGAAAAATGTTGTATGCTGAGTCATATGATGATGCCTTGAAGGACAAGCAAAGAGAAAAGCATGATCCTTGATAATGGCTTTGATATTTTAGTCATAGATTTTCTTGAACCGATCATCCATAAAGAACTACGTCATTGTCCCTTTTAGTGACCTTGCTCCTTAGTTGTGCTCGCGTTGGAGTAGCATGGGTGCCACTATGGGTAAATTCTTCTTTTGGCACTATCTCGAGGTACTGGGCTTGCCATCGAGTTTATCCTCTTTGTCTACTAGTAGAGTCTGAGATATCTCATTTCTAGGCATCGATACAAGGTTTGGTATGTGCTTCCTTGTTTATTGATGCTTTTTCTTATCCATGAGATGTGCTTGGTATGTTGATGTTGCAGGAGGTTTTTGTAGCATGGTGGTATCACAATAGTGTGCTCATTTAGTTTAATTGATCTTCTTGCCATGTGAGCATGTCGTGCTTGGCTAAGAGGATTGTTTTATCTCGGGGTATTGTCTTGTTGATGTCGGTTTTCTAGACATGCTTGATTGATTTCACCGAGAGGTATGATGTTCAAAATATTTTGTTGAAGGATAGTTTGATTGATAGGTTGGGTAGCTTGAACGGAATGATTCAGAATATCTGAGATTCCCCATTTACTCGTGAGTTGATGGACTTGGAGAACCACCTCATGGGTATTTGAACTGCTTCTACTCTGGGTCTTCTCACCTTGCCCCCGTAGATATGTTACTTGTTTTCCTCTTTTCGGAACAAAATGTGACTTTTACCAATATTGACTTAAGATGAATGCAACAAAGTTTGGAAATTCTCATTTGAGAAAGTATGATGAGAACCTGATTTTAGAAATCAAAGCCTTGCTTGAGGGAAGTGTGTGCAACATGAGAAAAAGATTTTTTGTGTGGTTATTGTCACCATGTTTAAAAATTCGTTCTTTTCGGAAGTCAAGCCATGAGAATATCCACAAGCCCTCACTCTCATTCTCACGCTCAATTTTGCTCACACTCATTCCTATGGGTGCTTCGAGTATACGACACTTTGGCTACTATCAAGATTCTTGTCACCAAGTTGATGGACAAATGTGTCGGAGGTATAAGTTGCTGATCATGGAGATTTCATGTAATCTCTGTGCTGTCTCGTCACGTGAGTTCTGGAACTTTTCTCGAAGGTGACCCTTGTACGTCAGAGTCATTTGAGTTTTGGAAAGCTGAATTTTCTCGAATGAATGATGGATAAATGAGTCTCACATTCCTCATCGTCTAAGTTTCCTGCTGAGGGATTCTGACTTGCCCCCAAAGTATGAAGCTGGTTGATCGATATATGAGGGATGTCTCATCTTCCTTTAGAATGGTGGCTATCTTAGGTGTCTTTGTGGCCATGTCTTGACTCAAGTTGCCCCCTTGTCTAGAAATTTTGGTTTTGAGGGGTAAGCTCGATTAGGGAAGTAATTGAGATAATCTGAGTAGAAATTAGATTATGGAAATATTCTAATTCGTTGTGGTCCTTGTTTTCCCTTGAAAGGATGGATAAATGAGGTATTGGTATGATGCAGACTTCAACTTCTCATCGGGTCTCGAGATGATGAATGCCGAAGACCTTTGTGTGGCAGTCATGATTGCCACGTCTTATTATCACGGGGGTTCTTGTCTGACTTGAAAGTGTTGGATGTTGAAGATAATCATGGGTTGTACTTGAGCTTAAGTCAATATTCTTGTATTGGAAACCCTTCTCATTAGGGGTTTCTCAGGATATTTTCTGAGACATTGTACTCTTGTGACCATATCGATGGTAAGCTCGAACTCAACCTTTTGATCCTTTTAGCAAATGTGGCCAGTAACTTTTACTCGTGACGAGTTTGAGTTATTATGACTTCACGTGCTCGTGTAAGTCCCGCGAGCTTTTCCTGTTTTTTAATTCTTTTACTTGCCATTTTGGCCGTTTTTGCCCTTTTTTTTGTGGGACCTACTTGTCATACCCCCACACATGATGCAATTTCAGCGCTTCTTTTTTGTGCACCAACTTCAAAGAATTAGGAAATCTGTTGACTTCTTGTTAGATAGGCGAATTGGTCATTTCCTTCTTGAAGAAGATATTCATTACTCAATTGATGATGTGGGTTGTCAATCGGATCGTTCAACCTCTCCAATCTTCAAGCCACGAGGGCTTTGTTAGAACTTGGTTATTATGATATCGACATTTGGTTTCTTGTGAGTCTTGCTTTGAAGGAGAAGATCGGTTATGGTGTGACAAGCTTCTACAAGTAGCGTAGTGTCGTATCCCCGTTGCACCCTTCAACTATTTAACTCACATAATTTGTGGAACCAGTGGGGTGCTTATACTCTCAACTATAGTAATGTGTGCACACTCTCAACATTAGTGGGTGGTTCAAATTTTGGACACCAGTAGGGTGTTTATAATCACTCGACACCAGTGGAGTGCTTATTGTTGCTTAATATGAACATCTCATGGCTTCAACACATGAAATACATTTTTATGGTTCCCATTTTTAGTGAAAACAAGGTGATCTTAAAGTTTTTGGAAAAGATGCTCATCATTTTGAAAGGAGAAGGACCATTGATGCAAACATCTAAATCAAGATTGGTAGCAATCACACAATGTTCCAAATAGGTGGCAATGCAAATGACCTTTTATTTTTCAATATGGAAGCAAAGGTTGATACATTGGTTTAATATGGTAAAGTATCTCTGGATTTATTTGACTATGAGTCCACATTATCCTCGAATTAAGCCCTGCCTCATAGCGTGCCTATTGACTTCCATGATTTG